TGTCCCCCCTGTCCCCCCATGATCGACGCCCCTGGTTGCTGGCAATGTTTGGAGGATTTTGACCAGTTTGTGACGTAGGCTTGTCTTAGAGAATTACTAGTCGTCACAAACAAGCGTCTACCCATGAGCCTTTGCGTTGTTAGCGTGTGTTGTTATCGTCGCTGGGACTCAATTCCCACACGTGCGCAGGTGACGACCCTCCCGCTTTAATATAATGCAATATGTCAAATGAATTACAGCTAATGTAATTTAAAATAAAGTATTTCAGTGATAATTTGAAATTTCTAAAAGCTGACTTACTTGATATTTACATATACATACATGTGTACCGAACTCAAATGAAACGAACACAATATTCATTGGACGAGGTTGAAAGGTGAATAGCCATGAACTGAGGTGGTTTTCATTGTGTACACAAAACTACGCTCTCTGTATAACGTGGAACTGTGTGTAACAGTCGATAAAGCTTTAGTGTTAAACCACTAAAATTCGCTAGGAAGTTCACTAAATCGTGTAATACGCTAAGATCGTGTGTTATAGCGCTTTCATTTCAATTGTAAGGTAAAATGTGACTGACGTTTCGGATAAATCTTATGTACTAGTATATGTTCGCTGTGTCGGTTGTACTCGGAGCCTCGTCTAGTTGCGTTCTTGTCGCAATCCCGCGTTTTATGGCGGGTCAGTGCAACACAAGTGATGTTTCTGCTGTGTTGACTTTCACTCTGAACCCTGATCGTTGTTGAAGTGAAACCAAACACCCAAGGACACTCGTATCCATTTCATTGTTCGACTTGATGCCTGAGGTCGCGCAGATAGACATTTTATGTCGCTGACTGAAGACACGATTTTGGTCACCGTACCTTTCAACTACAGTATAATGGTGTTTTCTGTGTTATTCACAGATTCCTAGAGCGGCAGTTAATTGTAACTGCCATGGCAACGGCGCTTGTATGCAACTTTTTCAATATAGGTAGGCAACCATTGCGTTTTTTATGACAGTCAAATCTGTGGCCATGTTTTCACGAAACACATTAAAATGTTAGTCTATGGTATACAAATTGAACGCCAGATCGTGTAGCTGACACAAAACGATTCTTTTGACATCGAGAAAGTCAAAGAGTTCATAACTACACATGTCACATATCGGAAACCGTGGCGTGACCACGGAATTTAAAGAGGGCGCTGTGAGTTGGCACGACAAGAAATACTTGAACCTCGGACCTGTCATGATGATTTCGTATTCAGGAAAGTATTTATTGCATAATAATACTGTACAATACTGTACACATGCCCACATCGATGCATGCACAAACTAAATAGACGATTTGTGGGCTTCATGTGCGTGTGAATACGTTGTCCGATTACGTCATTAGCGATTCAGACTCGTTCGTTGTTCATACATGACGTTCACTGTCAACGGCTCCTTTTTACCCAAATTTGTACAAAGCGATTGCACACTACATGGTGTTCACAGTAATACAAGTCAAACGTTTACCTGCAAACACTTAGTGTTATATCAAATAGGTACTTGGAGGATTATTGTATTATAACAACCAATTGCGAACAAGAAATATTATGACGTATTTAGTACCACGTGACACGGATTTGAAATACCTCGAAACATGCCTGTACACTGCTGACTTAACGTGCACAATGACCCAACATACAGTAAAGAAAGTAACTTTAAATATGGTTAGGAAATATAATTATGTTACGTGGATATATGGACAATTTCGCATTAACATATTCTTGCTACCTGTTCTTTACATTGCAGGAATATTCATAATTATTCACATCAATGTCGTCTTAAC